AAAAGAACTATTTGTGGAATAATTTTTTAAAATTGAAGAATGCTTATGGAATATCTTATAGTTGGGGACTAAATATGGAAAATTGTATATAATTAGGGACCATTTATAGAATTTTCTCTTTAAAAAAATATGACGGTTTGATTTTTTTGGTCAAAAATTAGAATATAATTTTAATCAGCTAAATGTTATAAAAATTTGATATTTTAAAATAGATCCAATATTACTAAATTAAATTGAAAATTATTTTTTTTCATAATTTATTGTCAAAATATAATATTTATTGGGAGGTGTATTATAAAGGATGGCTAGGGAGTTGGATAAAGAAACAAGTGTAGAATGTGTGTGATATGTGTGGGCGTACTCACGAAGGCCACGGAGGAGGCCAGGGAGGGGTCATTACCTAGTCGTGATGTTCGCCACGTCATTTGACTTTCTCCATCTCCTCCCAATAAATTAAATCACGTTTTTCTTTTCTTCTTCCAATTAAACTCTTCCCCATATATGGGCGACCCTTTTTTTCTTTACGGCCGACATCTGGACATACTCATTTAGTTTACCCCAAGTGAGATTCCCCAAGCATTTTTTTAATAAGTTATATTGGCACTTTTCATGAACTTAAACTTTTATCATTTGAAAAAATTCACATGTATAATTCAAGAAATATGTGACTTTAAGATAATGCTCCGAAATTAAATAATTTGCATCCCTGCTCCCAGAAATCACGTAATCTTACACCAATACTTCCGTCTACCAACTAAGCTCAATACGTGACGTTTTAAATAGTGTCTGGATAACTGTTAACTATGCGTTGGTAATTAATTATAAAAATAAAAAAAGTACCTTGAATGTTTTATAATTACCCACCTCCGTGTTGAGTTGAAATAAAAATGTGTTCAAACTAAAAAAAAGTGTTTATATTTTAATCAAATGAATTACGAATAGTGTTTCAGATAAAAAATTAGAGAGTTTTAATTAAAGTTGATATAGTCCAGAATTTATATTCTAAAGGATCTTTCCAAGGAATATAAATTTGATTATGAAATATGTACGTCAATTTTTTTTTATTTTGTCTGAAACATTATTTTCTTTTATTTTTTATCACTTCGTGATTACCAACACATACTTAATAATATACAACCATCATTTAAAATGCCACGTATTCTGCTTCGTTGGCAGCACGGATTATTGGTATAAAATTAAACAATTTCTGAGAGTAGCGGTGTGAATTATTCAATTTTGGAGGATTAACGTAAAATCACAAATTTTTTGGAGAATTTGTGTGAATTTTTATTTTCATTTTCATTATTCATTTAATAACATTATTACTCATTTCACCTTTTTTTGGGCCATTTATTTTACTATGGAAATGTTTTTTTAAAAAGAAGAAAATTAGCATATGTCTATGGAGTATTATAATTGCAGGGTAATTAAAAACAGTCATTGGATATACGGAATATATGATTTATGATACGAAGTACTCCGTATAATATATACACCGAATATAATGTTTTCTTTACAAAAACAAATGTCACTGTTCACTATTCAAAAATCAAAGAAATATTTCTTTATTTTTTAATTACAATTTCATCAGTTATTTGATAAAATAAATTATTTCTGCTATCTCTTGTTTTGAAAAATTCTTAACGTAATTTTTAAATATATAAATTTTATTTTTACTTATATACCAATCTTTAGATAAAATAAAGTGAGAAAAACTTAATATTTCACTTCATTTTGTATTATGTGTCAAACATTTTAGGACTACATGGAGTATATATGATGGATACCTAAACGCTACCATCACTATACTCCATTTTTTCCAAGATGAAATTCAATTAGTTTGATTTTATTAAGTAATTGTTTTTGGGTCTAAAGTCTAAACCCTAAATCGTCAATAGCAGGTGGCCAAATGGCCACCAGTGTCATGCAACCCAATTAAGGCACGCGCTGCGTTGTATTTATAATTTGAAGACAAAGATGTAGAGTTTGTTGATATTGTTATAAAATCTCAAACACAAGACTGCTAATAGTGAGATTTTATAGAGTTTGTTGATATTGTTATAACATACTACCTCAAACACTAGAAAATGTGTTTTTTTAATCTAAAATTAGTTTTCTTATGTACTCTGTATTTTCCAATGTTTTCAAACTTCATATAGTTAATTTCTTCCTAATTCGTCTAGTTTCTTCCAAAATTAGTTTTCTTACATACTATATACTCCCTCCGTTTGGAAAAACCATTCCCATTTGATTTCGAGGCAAAAATAAGGAAGTGTTAAATTATAGGTGATTTCCAATTTTGCCCCTGATGTGATGGGTAAAAGTAAGATGTGATGGATATATTATTAGAGAAAAAGTATGATGTGATAGGTAGGATATGAAAAAGTAAGGGTGAAAGTGGTTTTCTAATAGAAAGGGGAAGTGTTTTGTTGGAAGTAGAAAAAATGAAAGAGGGAGTGTTTTTGAGAACGGAGGGAGTATAATTTTATTTTATTATTTTATACCTATAATCAAATAAATTGATTTAAAAATAGTTTCGGTCAAACTTCGTAAACAAAACTGGGAAGAAAATTTTAAGATGAAGGGAGTAAAAATTTAGTGGTTGAAATTTGTTTAGATGAAAAAAATATGGATCACACATTTTTTACTTTATTTTTATATAGATATTCTTTACTCTCTTCGTCTTAAAATTAATTTCTCATTTGAGTTTTCACGATCTCTAATTCAACACTTGACCTTTAGTACCTTTATTTAAAGGTCAAGTGAACGTACCTCAACATATTTTTACTCTCTTCGTCTTAAATCTAACTGAACGTATCTCAACAATCTTCTACGCTCTAGCCGTTTTGATATTTCTCAAGCCCAACTTGTTTCAATTGTCGTCGTTTCGCCTTTGTCAACCTTCTATATCTTCCTTTCCCAAAAGTCAAAGCATAACAGTTTTTTGAGACGGTGGGAGTAAAAATTTGCTTAGTGATGATAAGACGAACATTTTTATTTTTTTATTTTTTTTTAAAAAAACTACTCATATATTTGATGTGAAAAGTACTAGCAGAAATAATACTCCCTCCGTCCACAAATAAACTTTACGTTCACTATTCACAGGGTCAAACTTTATTCACTTTGTTGGTCTATTTTCGTCACCGATTTGATAAAATAATATAGTCATGTCACCTCTAGTTTTGTAAATCTTTTGATATAGTTTTTTAATATGCTGTTTTTATTTTTCAATTTTATACTATTTTTCATATAAAATGATTGGAAAATAACTTCAGTCAAATATCGTAACGCGTAATGTAAAATTTATTTATGGACGGAGGGAGTAATATTAAGAGTGTTAGACAATAATATTAATAGTACTTCTTGTAGTATTGATTATGGTAGTATTTCATTATTAGTCAGCTTCCTAATCCTATTTGTGGTAGATGTTGTATGTTAGTTAGTTTCCATTCTCTATTCCTAGTTGTGTTAGAAGTCTCTCATATATATACTCTATCATGTACTCCATAATTCAATGAGCAATATTATTATTCCAATATTTCAACATGGTATCAGAGCCATCGCTCTTTGTGACTTAAAAGAGTTCTTTGCTTCCGTCGCCGCCGCCGGTAATTCCGGCGACGGCGACTCTATCCTATTCACCTCTATTTTCTTTTCCTTCTTTATCTTCAAATCAACTTCTCCATTCAAATGAAAAAAAGGAAAAAAAACTCCTACTGAAATCACACAAAAAAAAACTATTGAATGAGGAACTTCTCTCTTGTCATCTCCATGATTCTTCAAGAAAAAACTCAACTCCTCACAAACTCTCTCAGATCTCAAAAAAAAAAGAAAAAAAATGATTGTTGTTTCTCTCCAATTCACCACATCAAAATCTCAAACCCAATTTTTTTTTCCATCACCAATTCTTAACCTACTTTTTCTCTCTAAAATCACTCGTTCCAATCATCAACCTCCCTTTCTCTTTCTCTTCTGTTGAATCATTAAAAATCCAAAGTAAATCAGCACAAAAGCAAAGCCAAAAGGGGAAGTAGTGAAAAAGGAAATAAGACCTCTACAACTCACCCTTCAAAAAGGAAATAGGGCATTGCCCGGATCCAAGAAAAAGACAAAAAATGTCAAGGATCTTCAGTCAAACAGGCACCTCCAGTAGCTTTCTCTATTGTTTTTTGACGTCAGCAGCTACAAGCGCACGTCAACCTTCTCTCATCTTCATCGACATCAGCAGCTACTAGCGCACGTCAATTTCTCTCTTCTCCAACAACGTTAGCAGCTACCAGTGCACGTACGTCAGACTTCTCTCTTCTAGCTCCAACGACGTCAGCAGCCACCGGCGCGCGTCAGATTTCTCTCTTCTCCAACGACGTCAGCAGCCACCGGCGCGCGTCACACTTCTCTCTTCTCCAACGATGTGACCAGCCACCGGCGCATGTCAGACTTCTCTCTGATCAAAGTTTCCTATTTCCAGCTAGTGTCCAAGCTTCCTCTTGCTTCAGCCAGAGTTCAGCATGAGGGGGATGTTAGACAATAATATTAATAGTGCTTCTTGTAGTATTGGTTATGGTAGTGTTTCATTATTAGTCAGCTTCCTAATCCTATTTGTGGTAGATGTTGTATGTTAGTTAGTTTCCATTCTCTATTCCTAGTTGTGTTAGAAGTCTTTCATATATATACTCTATCATGTACTCCATAATTCAATGAGCAATATTATTATTCTAATATTTGAACAAAGAGTAACCTTAATATGATTATATGTTCAAAAAGTCAAAACAAATAACAATGGCAAATTAAACAAATTAAACCAGAGGCTCCAATAGTTATTGAACTTTTCACAATTTCTTTGCTGGCCACACACTGTTTTTTTTTAATTTTCGAGAACTATTCTTCTTCCTTTTTTTGAATAAACAAGTACTACTCGTAATAATTAAATTTTGCATTTGAAAAGTCGAACGTGCCTTCCATTTCCAGCCACTATATACAACTCTTTCCATTTCCAGCCACTATATACAACTCTTTCCATACTATTCCCTTGGGTTTGACTTTGACTTTATGGACTATATAAGACTCACTCCCATTTGGCTCATCCTCTTCAATTCAAACCCATTCATACATTGTTCAACCATTTCCTTTTCTGCCCTAACCATTCTTAGTAACTCTTGAGGTTCTTTAATTTATTGTTGTCAATGGAAGAGATTGAAGTTCCTTCTTACTTCCTTTGCCCTATCTCTCTTGAAATCATGAGGGACCCGGTGACGGTGTCCACCGGAATAACGTACGACAGGGCGAGCATCGAGAGGTGGATATTTTCGGGCAAGAACGCCACGTGTCCGGTCACCAAACAGGTCCTGAGTGTTGCCGACGACATCATGCTGACTCCCAACGTCACTCTTCGGCGCTACATCCAGGCGTGGTGCACCCTCAACGCGTCCCAGGGCATCGAGAGGTTCCCCACTCCCAAGGCTCCAGTCACCAGACCTCAGGTAATGAAGCTGCTGAGGGATGCTCAGTCGCCGCACATGCAGATGCAGTGCTTGCGGAGACTGAGGTCCCTCGCGTCCGAGAGCGAGGCGAACCGTATCTCCCTCGAGAAGGCCGGCGTGGTCGAGTTCTTGGCCACGATCATAAGAAACGACAACGATACGATGTCGTTTTCATCGTGGGGCCCGCAGGACGAAGCCCTGAGTGTACTTCATAGCCTCAAGTTATCAGATTCCAAACTAAAATCTCTCCTCAAGTGTAGAGATTCAAGTACACAACCTCAAGCTATAGGATACGACGATGAATTCATCGATACGTTGGTTCGGGCAATGCAACGTCTGGGGCACTACGAGTCTCGGGCCTTGGCCGTAACGCTTCTCAAATCGATGCTTGAATTAGCCGAGCCGTTGCAGATCATGGGATTGAAGCAAGGGCTTTATGTTGAAGTAGTCCAAATTTTGAAGGACCAAATATCCCAAAAGGCATCAAAAGCATCACTCCAACTCTTGATCAATGTGGGCCCATTCGGAAGGAACCGGATAAAGGCGGTGGAGGCCGGGGCGGTGGGAGTGCTAGTCGATCTCCTCCTCGACACGACCGAGAAACGGACGTGCGAGATGATCTTGACCGCACTAGATCTGCTCTCCCAGTGCGCAGACGGGAGAGCTGAGCTAGTGCGACACCCGGCCGGACTGGCCGTGGTGTCCAAGAAAATCCTTAGGGTTTCGCACGCGGCGAGCGAGAGGGCGGTGAAGATATTGTACTCCGTTTCTAGGTTTTCGGCCACGCCCGGCGTGGTGCATGAGATGTTGCAGTTGGGCGTGGCGGCGAAGCTGTGTCTGGTGGCGCAAGTTGAATGCGGCTGCGGCGGCGGCGGCTCCAAGACCAAGGAAAGGGCTGTGTATATTATCAAGTTGCATGCTAAGTCTTGGATCAATTCTCCTTGCTTACCAGCTAATTTTAAGTCTTTCTACCTGCCCTCCTCAAATGCATTATGAAATAATGCCAATAAAAAAATTTAATTCTTATACCTGGAAATGACTTACGGAGTATATTTTAGTCTTATTCAGTTCAAATTTCACAATATAATACTACCTTCATCCCCAAAAACGGTTCATGTTTTGATTTTCTTTTTTTGTAGTCTTTAATTATAAATTGTGAATTATATATATTTAATTTTAATGTAAATCTAATACAATTAGTTCAATTTTAAGATATAAAAGAATTATCGAAATAAGAGTAAAATATAAGAAAAATATAAAAATGGGAGTTTTATTTTTATAATGTGCTCCGTAAATTGCAATTTTCTACTTTATGACTTCTTCATTTTTTGTTTTATAACAATAAACGGGAGAAACTAAAAAAAAGTAAAGTATAGAATAAGTATCCATACTAAAATGCTAATAATGCCAATATATAATCTCGAGTATTACGCAATTTTTAAAAGTTCTTCCCAAATGCAAATTGAAGACGACATGACCGTACCAATGTTTATCGATCATTATTTGTTCGACAACATACTAACATTTCTATTACAATTACAATATTTATTCATAATGGAAAGCTATCATTTTCATTGGGAAGTCACCTTGCTGCCATTGAAGTATTGAACCAAAATATTTTTGGCATTAACATTAATTTTTTTAGATTGAGCTGTGCCCATAATCGAATTTAAATGGAGTTTACGTGTGCATTGAATACGTTCTCCGTATCTGTGGACCAGTGCAGTAATATATACTATCTCCGTTTCTCAAAAGAGTTCCTCTTTTGACTTTGGGGTAAAATAAGGAGGTGTTAAATTGTAGTTGACTTTCCAATTTTGCCCTTGATGTGATGGATAAAAGTAAGATGTGATAGTTTAGTTGTTAGTGAAAAAGTATGATGTGATAGGTAGGGTATGAAAAAGTAGGGGTAAAAGTGGTTTTTTAATAGAAAGGGGAAGTGTTTTAAGAAAAACAAAAAAAATGAAAGAGGAAGGGTTTTAAGAAACGGAGGGAGTACTCGTGTGTGTGTGTGTGTGTGTGTGTGTGTGTGTGTGTGTGTGTATAATATGAAATATTTGCACTAAATAGCACTAAAACTTAAGTCATTTCCCTAAATAATACTTAAATTGTTTTATTTCCTAAATAGCACTTAATAATGTCCATAATGACCAGTGATAACAACTATTTACTTGAATAATGACTAATGCATAATGACTAAAAATGCTACATTGGGAAGAAAAACACATGTGGTGCTATTTAGAGGAAGTCATTATGTTTAAGTGTTATTTAAGTAAATTCTTCTATATATATATATATATATACTCGTATGAATAAATATTACGGAGTACTCCTTTCGTCTCTATTAAGGAGTGTTTGTTTGGTTCTATTTTATTAATTTGCAATCAATCAAGACAAATTCTTGATTTATAATTAAATAAAATTATGTATTTCATCTAGACCTTCAAACCTTTCCTGTTTTGACATTTTTAGTCAAAAAATGACAATCTATGATCACAAACTAAATTTAATCTAAATAAATACATGATATAAAAATTTGATATATATCAAAACTATATCCTAATATGAACCAATTATATTAATTTTATATTATAATTAGGTATACTTTTTTCATGATTTGTAGTCAAAGTGTGTCACCATTTCACCAAAAGAAGTCAACGGAGGAAATATTTTTAGAATCAGAGGGAGTAGTATTTTAATAATTAATTAGATAAAATCATATTTTGAAAATATTTTACAAGACAAAATAAAATTACTTTCATATCAAAATTTAATATTAATTTAATTAATGATCAAATTTTTTCAATTTTGACTTCAAAAAATTAATCCAGACAACTATTCTAGGGCGAAGTTAGTGTACAAATAACGTTCATTGAAAATAAAGTAATACTAGAATGACAAACAAAATATTTTTAAAATACACAAACTTACCAAATATGTAAAGTAATGACTTCAAATAATGGTCTCAAATAATTAAAAAATAAAAAATAAATTACATAAATAGTAAGTGTGTGTATTTTGTGTCTCTTTTATTTGTGACTCTAGCATTCTCCTTGAAAATATTGTTCAGAGTGTATATATATAAATATTTTCACATTTCCTTATTTGACATACCATACTTAAAATAATCTTTGCACTTTTTTTTGAGAGTATCGACCTTTGCACTACTTTATATTCTTTTCGTCCCACAAAATCTTTCTCCTTTTCTTTTTCATCCGTCCCAAAAAATTATTATCTTTTTTTATTAAAAAGTTACTTTTACCCCTATTAATTTTTAACCTACCTATCACATCACACTTTTTCTCTATTAATCTACTCATCACATCATACTTTATCCATCACTTCAAAGGGCATTTTGGAAAAGTTCACACCAAAATACACTTCCTTTAAATCTTTTAAAAGTCAAAATCAGAAGTTTTTTGCGGGACGGAGGGAGTAAGTCTTCTCTTTGTTCTATACACTCGTATGTCGTAAGTCTCAACCATTCATTTTTTTACTTTTAACACATTTTTTTAAACCCCGTGAAATTGAAATATTGCTATTACTTCAAAAGGGAGGTTATAATAATAGGAATTTACTTAAGCAATATTAAAATATAGTGACTTTCTCAATGTAGTACATATGTTTTTAATTATTTTCTAATGTAGTGTCACTGTTTAATATCTGTTGGGCATTGTTCAAGTAAATGTCTACCACCATTGGACATTGTTCAAAATAAATATCCACCGCCATTGGATATTATTCAAACTTAATATCCACTATTACTGGACATTATTCCCGCTACTAGACTTATTCAAGTACTATTTAAGAAATAAAAAAAATTAAGTACTACATTGAGACATTACATGTATTTTAGTGGCAAAACTGCAAATTTCACAATTTACTTTTTTTGGTAGTAATTTTACTTTCTTTTTCTTATTTTTTTTGAAAAAAATTATTTGAATATTGCTTAGCCAATACATACTCCGTCCATTAATTTTTAAGGCATGGGAATAATTCCAGAAACGGGTAGATGAATCAACATTAAATAATGCGTGCAAGTTGGATGCTCAAAAATTGCCCGAAAGGTCCAACTAGAGAATTGAACCGCTCATTGGTCTTCTTATGGATCACACTCAATCCACCTACTCCCAACTACGATACACCCTTCTTTCTAAAACAATACTCTTTATTTTATTTGTTTTGACATCAAGTTTTAATATCATATTAATACAATTTTAATACTTCATCCGTCCCTAAATAGATTAAAAATTGCGGGTTACGAAATTTTTTTTCTACTTTTTAAAATTATTTTAATTACAAATTGGTATATCAAAAATATATAAAAATTACATATTAGAAAACTACGTCAAAAGTTCTACAAAACAAGAGGTGACAAGAATATTTTATTTTATCAAATACTTAATGAAATTGCATAAACAAACAAAAGTAATCGAGAGTACAGAAAAAATTGTAATCTATTTAGGGACGGAGGGAGTAATAATTATTCTTGTTGAGGAAAGAATACTAAGAGCATGGGCAATGACAAGTAAGAAATGAAATGCCACACAATGACATGTAGTATTTTAGCAAATGAAAATCAGTCTAGTCATCGTGTAACAAATGAGTGAAGTGGCATGCCTTGCAATGACAAGTCACTCTTTTTATTATTATTTACACTTTTTAAATGTATTTTAATTAATGAAAATGATTTTAATTATTTATTTGATTATAAAAATACTTCTATAACATTTATTTAAAAATAGGAGTATTTTTTCCTTATTTAAAAAATAAAAAATCTTAATTTTCCTTATTAAAAAAATTTAAAAATATGTTGTCTGATTTATTTAAATGCCTTACAAAAAAATAAAAACATTTTTGTTTAAAAAAACAATCCATCCGTTTCCTTCCACCCAATGCTACACCCTATTTCTTCAAAAAAAAGAACATACACGCCTCGCACATGCCTTGCTCGCCAGTGTGGAATGCCCATGCCTCTCCTTGGTAATCAAGTAAATGGATGATGTGGCAGGGCGAGGTAGATGAATTACTCGCCACTGCATAGCAATATGGTAAATATGGTAACAACATAATATGGAGAACTAGAATAATTTAGTGATTCCCAATTATTATTCCTATCATATATTCCTCGTCGGGAGCGAGGGACAACTTTGAGCACAAGTACTAAAACGGAGTTGGTATCATCGGTTTCATGAGAATGACGGCTAGGAGAGAGGTAGATAGGGATCTTGGTTACATGATGAACAAATTTGAGATCAAATTGTGTTTTCTGAATTTTTTCAGCGAGAGGTTTGTCGATTAAAACGAGGACGGTGAGTTTTTCTTTATATAATAGGATAAGAGGAGGCAGTTGTTAGGTACTTAGGTACGCTTGTTAGGATAGATGGTGGAAACAGTAACATGCATCTTTACCCTGCCGACATTCATCACAATAACACTGAACCTTCAACTTTTTTTAATTCTTGTTCTCTCTAATCAAATAAGAAAATTTGTTTTTCTTTCATTGCTTTTCTACCGCGATAAAAGTTTGTTTAGAAGGTAAATCAATGTAATCAAATCTTCCGTAAAAAAAATAATCTAGTCTACTAGTCTAGTATGAATCTGTTGAGAAAAGAAGTCTACAAATCTTCTCTTTAACTGGGCTGGGCCAATTGCTTTTCGATGAAACTTAAAGATGTTCATCCGTCTTGCAAAAATGGGAGCAAGCCCAACAAGTAATGGGCTCCCGGATGGGCTTTATGCATTAAGAAAATTCGGCTGTATAAAACAATAACGGAGTAGTTCAATATACGGACACACTAACAAGTAAACAATTTTACACAATGAAATTCCAAAGTGAAATTTGCACTAAATAGGACTAAAACATAATGATTTTCTTAATCTAAAACTTAAACTTTTTTATTCTCTAAATAGGACTTAATAATGTCTTCGTGGAAGGAATAATGTCCAGCAATGATGGACATTTACTTGAATAATGACTAATTAATAATGACCAAAGGTCCTACATTGAGAAATAAAAACATATGGTCCTATTTGGAGAAAGTCATTATGTTTTAGTCCTATTTAGGTAAATTACTCAATTCCAAAATGAAAAGTGTAGCTAATTCCGTTTTAGTCTCGTAATATCAGAGTGATTAAATTTCATAATTTTTTGTTCCAAACAAATATTTCACTCTTCTTTTAATAAGAGAATGACTCCTTCCGTCTTAAATTAAATTTACTGTTTATTATTAACAAGGTATCGACATTAATTCCAAGTTTGAAGTACCAGAACGATCGTTTCATGTTCCGCTTTCGGAACTGATTTCCTTTTTTCTTTTTTCAACTTTGCTAGCACTCACTACATTTAAATTAGTTGTTTTACAAGTAATAACTTACCATTTTTTGTTCAAAAATTTGTTGGTGGTTTTAGTTTAATCGGCTATTGTGTGCAGTGCTTGGGATAAAAGTGATTGGGTTTACACAGATCAGAAGTTTTCTAACAAGTTAAGAGGTGCATAATGCATAGTCGTTCAACGGTTTTACATGTTCATAGCGGGGTCCAAGCGCGGCAGCCCCTGGTGGGGTCTAAGGGGCGGCCCCTGGCCGGGGTTGAGATGCCAAGACAACTTGGAAATTTTTTAATTTGGACGTTATTGCTTTATGAAAATCTTTCAAATTTTTGTGAACGGAGTCCGAAACCTTAAAGATTCAGACGTATGGATAAAACGACAAATTGACCCTAAAAACCGCATAACTCTTTGCACGATTGTTCTTGGGGTCCGTTTAGTATAAGGAATTGGTGGAATTAGAATTGAATTGAAATTAAAATTCCATGGGATTCAATTCCATAGAATTGAATTCGGTCAATTTCAATTCATTTTTTGCACTATCAATTTCAAATGCACATAATTTTTGTGTTACCAAACACTAGAATTGGAATTGAAGTCTCCAATTCCAATTCCATAGTTTGAATTCCATGTACCAAACAGGACCTTAGGATTTTCGTGTCTATCTCTACATGCGAACCTTTGCTTCTTTACGCGAACGTTCATGTTTGATCTCCAAATTTTCGATTCTATAAAAGAGTCTCGCTGGTATGGTTGAGAAGGCGATTCAAAGTGTTGTTCTTGGTTAAAGTCTTATCTGATTAAAGTATTTTGGTATACTCTGAAAAAACTTTGATTTGAAAGCGTTTTCGCGATTCATTAAACTATTAAGTCCTTTGTTCATAATTTTTTAACGCAGAAGCGTATTCTTGTTCTTTGTTCGTAATTCTTCAAAGCTGCTTCACAACGTTCATCTTCCTTCATAAAAAATTATAACAAAATTTCAATTCAACAAAACACAAAGCAAATAAAGTACCGAAGGAACTGATACCGCTCGCCACCGGTACGGGTGGCGGTCTCTCCCATCGACGGTCTCGAAACCAACGTTTCTAAAACCGAAACTAGCTCGTGGCCACCCTCTAGTAAGAATGGATCACACTAGGGGTGGACACGGTACGGTTCCGTGACGGTGACGGTTCCGGAACCGCCGGTTCCGGTACCGCCACCCCTTGATACCGGTACCGTGACCGGACCGGCCGGTACCGGTTTCGGTACCCGGACCGGCGGTTCCGGTACTGGACCGGCCACCCCCAAATTAATTTTTTTTTTTGCTTTTTTATGAAATTTTGAGAAAAAAATAGCCTTATCCCAGCCCGAATTCCTCTTCTCTCTTCTTATTGGACCGCTGGACAAAAAAAAAGGTACCTGGGTATATAGATGTGGAGAAGCCGAGAAGGCTGAAGAACAAGAAGCAGAGCAGAAGGCTGAAGAACAGAAGGCTGAGCTGAAGGCTGAAGAATTAATGACCGAAGGCTGGGAAAAGCAAAAAAATACAAAGGGTACCGGAACTGGAACCGGTACCGCCGGTGCCGGTACCGAAAAATGGGTACCGGAACCGGTACCGTGGGGGGTGGTGCCGGTACCGGTTCTCCAGAACCGGAGATACGTGACGCCGGCGGTGACGGTGGCGGTACCGGCGGTACCATTGCCGGTAGCGATACAGGCCTAGATCACACTTGTGGAGTTAGGTCAAACAAAAGTAAGAGTCCACACATGGTCGACTCTATGTCTTGTTCAGCGAATTTGTTTCACGCACAAATTCTATATGCCATTGGTGTAAAATTAGTTTATACTCCCTCTGTCTCATGAAACATGAGACTTTTGCTTTTTAGGAGGGATTAAAGGAGAGTGTATTTTGGTATTGAATTTCCAAAAATTTTCTTTGATGTGATAGTAAAAGTATGACTTGATGGATAGATTATTAGTAAAAAGGTATGATGTGATAGTTAGGGTATGAAAAAGTAAGAGGTAAAAGTGACTTTTTAATAGAAATGAGAAGTGTTTTTTGGGACGGATGAAAAAAGAAAGGAGAAAGGTTTCATGGGACGGAGGGAGTATATTTTTGTGTACAAAAAGTTTAACCTAACAATTTAATAATTTTAAGAGATTTATGAAGAAAATATATAATATGTTACCAAACAGTTCCATGCATAATGTTTCCAAATAATAAATTAGTACAAAATTACATATACCAGCTATATACTTCCTCCGTCCCATAAAGTGTTACCCATTTTGACTAAAGTTGAAATTAAGAGAGGGATAATTTTGTGTTGACTTTCCAAAAATACCCTTGATGGGATGGGTAAAAGTAGAATGTGATGTGTAGATTATTAGGAAAAAGGTATGATGTGATAGGTAGGGTTTGAAAAAGTAAGGGGTAAAAGTGGTTTTTTAATAGAAATGGGTAGGAGATTGTGGGACGCAATTTTTTTGAAAGGTGTAAATCTTTTTGGGACGGAGGGAGTATTTAGCTAGTGCACTAGATCAAGGTTGGAACACCAACACAATGTGAATTCTTCCAAACACAAAAATGTGTTCTTAGGATGTCTTTTGCCTTCTCCTTCAAAGCCAAAGAACAACGAGATTGAATCAGCTGGCGCAGCTTCCCCACCGTCCCAACTCTAACCATCTCCCGGACCACCCCACCCCTGGCCAAAAACCTAAAAACCTCCGTGAGAATCTCTAAGGCCATATCGTCGGCCGCCGGGGAAACCGCCGTGATGATCTTCTCTGTCACCATCGCGATTCTTGCGGCGTGGCTCAACAGTTCAGCCCCCCCGTCGGCACGAGAACACAGCTGGCGCAGAATCCCCAGGACTAGCTCAGTTGCATTTTTGTTGTCCGACGGGAGTTGACTCAGACCGAGCTCGATGAGCTCGTGAACCGCCCCGGACTTGACCAATTGGGCCAAGTTTCCGTGACCGTGGCAGGTGGCTAGCATGATGTGTAAAGCGGCTTCTAGTCCTTGTTGCGTGACTTTATCGTTCTCTCTCGCGAAATCCACGAATTTCGTCAAAATCTTGGGCATTACTAGCCTCTTTAGAGCGCTCGATTTCATTGTGTACCACAGATTTCAGCACGCATAGCGCGTGGCTTTTCATGGCCATGCAGCTATCCGAGCTGTCTAGGACCCACAAAAGCGAGTGGAACAAATGCTCATCCTTCTCCACCGTGAATTGATCCGCGGATTCCCAAGAAAACCCTCGGATCAGGTAAAGAACAAAGAGGGCATGTTCTACTCCTCCTACTAAAACCTTTTTCTTGTCACAACATGTCCTGTAGTATGAGATTTTCCCCTTTACGGCTTTACCACAGGACATGTCATGGCAAGAATGCATGACAAGAGCTCCTTCACGACCCCGACTTCGATCAACAGCTTCATGTTGTCACCTACATTCTCCATGGCCAACCGCTCCATCCTCTTCGCCGCGTTAAGGTGGAGTCTAGGGTTTGAGAGATCTTGAACGAGGTGCTTGGCCGCAACCCGACTTGAATGAATGTTCGGACTCCGAACCACGCCACGGGACCCGCACCATGACTCGATGAGCCGGTCCAACACGTGGGTTGGAATCAAGTACGAGTCCCGGTACAAAGGCAAATTGGTCACCAGGCACAACCTCTTGCCACCATCGAACAACCATTTCTCGATGCAGTGGCGCAAGGCCGGACCAGAATAATAAAAAAATAAAATTGGCTAGGTCCAAAATTTACATTTTGGGCCCTATTTTATTATTTGGAACACTTTTGTTTTAAAATTATCTACAAATTTAAAAATATGAGGCCCTAAAATTTTAGGGGTCATGTGCGGTTGGCCACTTTGCACACCTTCCGAGCCACCCATGCAGTGGCGGTTGTAGGTTACACTCTGGTGGCGACGACGACGAGATCGCTCATGATGTCTAGAGAGACCGGGCAGATGAAGTGGTCGGGGATTTCTACATTGACATCCATGGATTGATTATTATAGGTTAAAACTTGAAGATTAAAATTATAGTCAAAATTAACGTGTATATATACACATATTTGAAGAATCATTTTCAGGTGAAGTGTGACAGAAGAGTCAAAATTTTACCTGAATTGTTTGGTCGAATAAAAAATTGTGATTGTTCCCAAATGATAAGTTTTACTGAGACTAAGCTACGTAGTCTAGTCAATATGAATTTCATTCAAGTAAACCAAACGCGTGCTTTCGAAAAGTAAAAAAAAAAAGTGAAATTTGGACTGAATAAGATTAAAATATAAGTCATTCCCAATGTAGGACTTAAACTTTTTTATTGCTTAAATAGGACTTAATAATGACTAGTGAGAAGAATAATGTCCAAGTGATGCTGGACATTTAGTTGAATAATGACTAATAGATAATGACCAATGGTCCTATATTGGTAAATAAAAATATATTGTCCTATATTGAGAAAGTCATTATGTTTTAGTCCTATTTAGGTAAATTACCCAAAAAAAACCTTTTTCTACTCAATATTAAATAGAGATCAAGAATACATTAAAGACTGCGGAATAACAAACATTTGGCCCAATAAGACTAGGCAATATAAGCACATTTACATCTTAACACATTTGGCCCAATAAGAATAAATGTCCAACTAAAATTCTTTGGCCCAACAAGTTCTCCTCTTTGCTTCAGCTGCGTTCCATCCCCTTCCCTCCGAGTCTCTCTTCTCCGCCGGCCTAAAACCTTTTCATTCTTTCATCTCCGATTTCCCATTTGATAAACTTAATCTTCTTCCTCATAAAACCTTTCATCCGATCCCTTTTTGGAAGCCGTAGCAGATTTGAGGTCAGATTCGCGTTTTTCCTTTCCAATTCATTTTGATTTTGAGATACATCTTTGAAATCTGTGTTTTTTCATCGTCTTGGGCGAAATCTAGTGCAGTAAATTAGTACTCCGTAATAAACATTTCTAATTTGATTTGATAATTTTGCAACCAGATGAAATAAAATTTTAACCTAATCTAATAGTCCTAATTTACTTTTGAGTTCAAAGTGTGTAGCACTTTGCTGCATTTTTGGGTATGATGAGGTGACATTTTTTTTCATGAATGCGTGAAAATGGAAAAACATAAGCAATTGGAAGAGTAAATGTTGCAACCCTGCAATCTAGAAAAGGATGGGCAATTGTCATATGTGTTCACATGTTATTGTGCAACTGTGATCTTTACTCTCCAAAAATTTTGGTTATGAACTTCTCCAAAAAAATTGTTTTTTATATCAATATGAACATTTTAATCCGCGTTTGTTAAATGACGGTGTGGGGAAATTGTTGAAAGTATATGTAGGATCCCTCAAAATCGGACAAGAAGACTGTTAGTACACTTCTTTAAATGAGTTTGCTTATGTGTTGCTATTCAGTTGTTTTGGAAAACAGTGAGATTTCACAATGTCTTCTGGCTGGGTTGAAGAAATGAATTTAGCAGTGTTCTGGATTATTATTTTTTGTATGCCTTGAAAGCGGTGAACTTTTTCGGTGAGTAAAGGAATTGTATTCCACCATAAACTTATACGATAGTTTTTAGTAACATACCCGGAGTATGCTAGAACCTAAAAACCAAAGATATTGAGAAACTTAAATCACAGGAAAAACATTTAAAAACGAAATTAACCACTATCTAAAAAAGTAATCAAAGTAATCACAATAAGCTAAAACAATAGTTAAATAAGTCTAAATGTTCAAATATCAAAAGGAAATTCGATTTGTAATAGTTATGGTCTGTTAGTTAAGAGATTGGTGCTTTTGGTTTGATCTCTTCTAATGTCAAAGAAATTGATCAAAGTTCTAAACATATGTAAATATGACATTGTTTTTTAGCAACCAGCATGGCGCTTTACTCGAGAGCCTACCCTTGTTTTTTGTTACTGTTTCTTCAGTCTATTTTGGCAGGGAAATAGCAATAGCTTGAAGCTTTTCATATTAGCCATTAGTTGATTCAAAGTTGAATTCATGTGAATACTTCCTTTTTACCACTGGATAGCACATATTTCAGTATTTTCAAAGATTAAACATGGGGTAAAGAGCATAGTTATTAATGGCGCTCGCCATTTGCGCCAATGGCGCTATGGCTCAGAGGCGTTCAGTTTCCGCCCTAATTGACTTTGGCGTGGCGTTTAACACATGGCGCGCCAGAGGCGGTCGCCATTTACGCTTCTTTTTCTGGCGAGAGGCGAAAGCCAACTACGCTTTTCGTGTGGTCAACAAAATTGCGATCTGAATTCTCCAATTCAAGGAATGGTGAGCTTGCGTCATCTGACCGTAGCATGTCATCTCACCGTAAAGTGTCGTAAAGTGTCATCTTACTGGAGTCAATCCCGCACGCACGCACGCACGCACGCACGCACGCACACACA